AAAATGTAATAAAAATGTAGCATTAGGTACACACATACACAAACATTGGTAGTTTGAAAGGGAGAGTGTCTAATACAGCCAGAAAGAATAAAGGCTGTACAGTTTATATGGCTGAACAGCCCTTGAGGTGTTAGATTTTTAACCAGTTGTTTAGTTCAGCTTATCCTCATCTTTGAGCTCTTGGTGAATGGGTATTTCCCCGATTTGCCTCTTTTTTACCGGGAGCTGTTTCTGTGATGTTGAAATAAGCAGGGAGAGAGGGAGTCTTCAAGTATTCACTTACAAATCAATTTTCCTTCTCTACGCTGCTTTTCAAAAGAACTGCTTGAAATATAGTTCAGAATGTATTCCTGATCCAGCTTCATTGTCTTGTAATGCTCGATAACTTGCAGGTGAGCCTTCCATCTCGCAAGACATGAAATTATCGTACAAATGTGAACTAAAACAGGATATGTGAATTTCTTGATCTTGACTCAACTGCCTGGTTTTGATCTCATTAGATAGAGTGATAATTTCAGTTTATACCACATTTGTTTCTTTGACTTGCTTCAGTCTGCAGTGGGGTAATCACATCAGCCATTTTATGTCACTACTTGTTCTTTTCAAAAGCCATTTTAGCCTGTAACAGATCTCAGGCTTAAAAATGTCAGATGATGGAAGTCAAAACATGATAGTCAATATTTACAGTCATGAGTACAGAAAGATGTAGAGGAGGGTGTGGTTATATTCTGATGATCATTTCTATCCTCATTGTAGCCATGGTTTTGCTTATTTCTTTTATTTTCTATACCCTTGTTTTCAAATGTATTTGGCTTTTTTATAATTCAGTTCATTCCCCTTATTTATGTTCATATTAAATGGCCCTTTCCCCAAACGGATCTCTTTTCTTCAGATTGTAAGTTTGTACCCATTGTGAGGATTGGTTGGTAATTGTATCTGTAAGATCAATCATTATCTGGCTTTATGGGTACATCATTCCTGAGGTTTCATTGTCTGCTGTTCACTTTTGATATAACCAATAGGGTCATACAGTCATAGACCTGTACAGCATGGAAACAGATCCTTTGGTTCAACTCATCCATGCCTACCAGATACCCTAAATAAATCTAATCCCATTTGATAGCTTTTGGCCCATATCCCTCTAAACCCTTCCTATTCACATACCCATCCAGATCCCTTCTAAATATTGTAATTCTACCAGCCTCCACCATGTCCTCTGGCAGCTCATTCCATACATGGACCAGTCTCTGAGTGAAAAGGTTGCCCTTTAGGTCCCTTTTAAATCATTCCCCTCTCACCTTAAACCTATGCCCTATAGTTTTGGACTCCCTGACCCTGGGAAAAAAGACCTTGGCTATTCACCCCTTCCATGCCCTTCATGATTTTATGAACCTCAGACTAGACAGGATAATGCTTGTCAGGCCATATATTTCAGGCTAAAACTGCACAAGAATGTATCTACAGGAATTATGATTACATAAAACAGATAAAGCAAAAATTATATCAGACCATAGAGTGTTATTAGTTTGACTCTGGGGTCCTTGGTATTTAATGCAAGCTAATTATTTGGATACACCTTTTCCACACCATTTACAACCTTATGAACCTTTATATAATCATCTTGCAAGAACCACCTTTCAGAGTTGAAAAGTTCAAGTTTCAATAGTTTTTTTTAACTGAAACACCTAAGATTGGAGATCAGCCTTGTGTCTGTTTGCACTGTGTGCTTTGCACTCCTACCCATTGACCTAAACTGGATATAAACTAAAGTCTGAACTGGAGGGCTTCTTACAACAACTGCTGTGACAATGTAGTTCAAAATTCTACTGACCTTGTGACTGTGGCTCTGAATTGTTTGAACGTTATGACTGCCAAATCAACAGAAATGTCAAAGATTGTTTTTAATTCTGTCCCAAGCTATTCTAGGCAGCTTGTGCATTGGCCTTTATATCCTTATTCAATGCAGCACTGTACATTTCTTTGCATTCAATTTCATCGGCTGTTATTCTGCCTATTTAATTATGCTAACCAGGTAAAGCTGTAATTTCTGTGCCCCTTACCCTTGAAATAACCCTTTATTTACATGTGCACAGTACATAGGCTCTGACAAACCAGCTCAGAGCTAGTCCTAACAATGAATAGACTCTCTGAAACTCCTGTTTACATCTATTAGCTCCCTGATTGGCCCATTTTAAAAACCCCAATCAAGGATCTTACATTCAATGAGATCCACCTGGCCTTCGTTCCAATCACTACACCCTATTTTCCTACTCTTATGAATTTGTTATTATCAAACTGGTAACAGCATTTAATCTAGAAAAACAACACTTGGCAGATTTGGAAAGGAAAAGGGAAAAAATTGTTGCATTTATATAGTGCTTTTTTATAAGCTTAGGTTGCCTCAAAACCAAGTGCTTCAAAACCAAGGGAATGGTTTAAAGTTCATTTGCAAGGTAGTTAACGCAGAACCTGATTTTTGCCAAGCAAGGTTCCATAAATGGCAATGAGCTAGGCAGCCACATAAACTGTCTTTAGTAACGTGCTTGATGGATAAATATTGACCAGGACATCATAAGGATCTCTTCTTCAAAAGAGTGCCAAGTTACATCCAACTGAAAGCACAACCAGAATCTTGCTTTAATGTTTCATTCTAAGGAACACGTAGTTCGCAACTGGATAAATGCTACATGCAAACTGCATCACATTGACATACAACCACATTCAACTCTCGTTGTTGAAACTGGGATTGAAATTCTCTTGAATGTCCAGAAACAAAATGGCTGATGTCAATCTTCTGGTGGTAGGTCTCCAAAGATGCAGGATGCCTCATTGAGTACATGTCCACATGGATTCAGTCAGTCAAAACAACACAACATGCAGCAAGACCCTGAGACGGGACCTACTGAATCCAACTGTGAAGGTGGTAATACACAACAACAATAATATGACATCTTAGTGGTAAAAAGTCCTAAGGTGCTTCACAGGAGTATTATCAAATATAATTTAATAATAAGGAGATATTTGGATGGTTAAAGGAGTAAGTTTTCATGAACTCCTTACAGGTGAAGAAAAAATTGAGGATGGTCACCAGACCCGAAACGTTAACTCCGTTTGTTTCTTCACAGATGCTGCCAGACCTGCTGAGCTTTTCCAGCAACTTTGTTTTTCTTCCTGATTTACAGCATCTGCAGTTCTTTTGGTTTTTAAGAAAAAGTTGGGGGTTGCAGAGGTTAATAAGGGAAATCCAAAGCTGAAAGCATGGCCTTGAGTTTTAGAGTGACTCAAATTGAAGATGGCTGAGAGTCTGGAATTAGACAGTTTCATGAGAAGTTGTAGAGCTGGAGAAGTTTACAAAGAAGCAAGGAATCCCTACAGCGCAGATAGAGGCCATTCAGCCCATTGATTCTACACCAAACTTCTGAAGAGCATCACACCCAGACCTACGCCCACTATACTATCCCCATAACCCTGGATTTCCCATGGCTAATCCATTTAGTTTGCACATCCCTAGACATTATGGGCAATTTAGCATGGACAATCCACCTAACCTGCACATCTTTGGACTGTGGGAGGAAACCAGAGCACCCGGAGGAAACACACATAGACATGGGGAGAATGTGCAAACTCCACACAGACAGTCACCCGAAGGTGGAATTGAACTTGTGTCCCTAGCGCTGTGAGGTAGCAGTGCTAACCACTGAGCCACCCTGCTGCTCCATGGAAATAAAGACAAGTCCAGAGCAAAATTTGAAAACAATGATAAAAACTTTAAAATCCAGTTTTTTTTCTGATTGAGTTGGCGATATTAGACAAATGAGATTTGCTCCAAGTTAGGGTTTGGGTAGTAACAGGTTTAGATGAATTAAAGGTTATGGTGGGCAGAGGGAAGTTAGCCAGGAGGGCCCTGGAATAGTCAAATCCAGAGATAACAAAACTGGGGCTAAGGTTTTCAGCAGCAGATGTGTTCAGCTGGAGCAGCGTTAGGTGACATTACAGAGATTGAAGTAAGCACATGATTAGATCCCCAACTTATCAGCTCTTCAGAACTACACACCATCTATTCGTACCCAACAAGGATGAAAAATGCATATTTTCATGAAACACCAACTTGATGTTCATGTTGATTCAGGCCTGAGTGTTCACAAGGACATAGGGGATCTCCTCCTCAGCCAAAGAGATGTTGGCACCTTAAATCAGGACAGCCTGCCCTTGAACTCACACCCATCATTTGTTACCAGGGTGGAATGGGATTCGGTTGTAGTTTGCACATCAGAGCAGCTGCATCCATAAAAATGCAATTTCCTTTAAACAGCGAGCTATAAAACACAACTTGTGACACTCTTAAGGAGAAGTAAGGTGCTTCTTTGGGGAAGTAAGGTACCTTTTGTATAGATTGAGCGATGCCTTTAAGAGATATAATTATGCCCTTTGGAAGCATGCTGGTGTCTTTTGGAAGAGATCAAGTCTCTGTTGGGATTGTTAAAAATACTCATAAATGTGCATAAACTGTGGATAAAATCATTGAAATCATTAAGCTATCAAGGCATTTAAACATTTAAGGCTTTAAATGAAAAGAAAACATTATGTAGTTAATAAGAAATTAGTGTTTGCTATTTTACTTTGTCTGTTGACATAAGCCTGTGGGTAATTGTTACCAGATTTGTGCTGCATGATGGATTTCACACCTATCATTATTGTAGCAGAGTGCCTGTAAATTTGCAATTTGATTTATTGCTCCAAGCAGAGTTGGGTGATGTTACAGAGGTGGAAGTAGGCAGATGATTAGATGCCCATTTAATCTGCTCTTCAAAACTACACACCATCCTTTTGTATCCAGCATATAGCTCCGAGTGGTTATAAAGTCTTTGCTGTAAAGCTATGAATACAAATACCTGTTTTTATAAGGAATTAGTGGCTAAAGGAATTTAAATGCCATGCATAGAGATTTATCAATGTATTTTTCTTTAAAATAGTGGTATCAATAGACACTTCAGACTTACACTTCAGACTTTATTTCATTTGCTGTCAGCATGGTTCCTCATGTTTGTCCATGGTGAATACTGGTCACGATGGCATGGAGGGCAAAGGCTGTTGGATGGGGGACATGGGTTGGCATGAGCTGATCCATTCATTTCATTTGCAGCTGCTGATATGATGAAGCAGTCTGTGCTTGCACACAGCAAGGCCAAGGCTGATACATGGCAAACATATGTCAGGCAATGGCCATCTCCAACAAGAGAGAATCTAACCATCTACTGCTGCTCAATAGCATCACTTTCATCAAAGATCTCACCATCAATGTCCTGGGGGTTACCATTGACTAGAAACCTCCCAGCCACATAAATACTGCATCTGTATGAGAAACTCAGAGGTTGGCTATTTCTGTGAGGAATAACTCATCTCCTGACTCTCCAAAAACAAAACGCAAGTATGATGGAATGGATGGGTGCAATTCCAATAACGCTCAAGCAGGTTCACGTCATCCAGGACAAAGCAGCCTGTTTGATTCACAGCCCTCAACATTCGCTCCTTGTGCAGGGAGCAATAAGCTGAATCTTGTAAATGAGGGGACTCTCAGTGGCCACTTGAGAGCTGACGGAGAGCATAACCTTTGCATTACTGCTTTTAGGAAAGTCCTGTCGCACCTTGTGCCAATCAGGCACTTACCAGACCGATGCCAGGGTTTCCCCCAGGCTCAAGGATAGGTCCCGCCTGCCAAGAGTGTCTGGCTGATCAGACGCTGACAGATCTAGTACAGCAGCGTCACTGGGAATATGGTAGCTCCTGCTGGTATAACAGGTATCCGAGGCCTAGTACCATTCATAACTAGATCCTAGGTCAAAGGTGAGTGATGCTGCAATGGGGCTTGTGAGGAAGAGGGGTTTTGTCGACAAAGGCAGTATTCTGGTTCTTAGTGGCCCTGCTCCTCCCAATGCCGGGCCCCTTTGATCAGACATTGATACCCCTCCCACTCCACTGAGAGTCTGTAGCAACCCTGGAAGCGTTGTGATTAATAGCACTGGCATCAGGAATGGCCTTTAATTGGGTAAATAATGGCCAATTTTAGGGCATTAATTGGCAGCAGGCAGGGAAGGCTATTCACTAGATTCTATCCAATGTGTAGCATCTGCTTGATGCAATGCAACAACTTACCAAGGTTCCTCTGACAGCAACTCCCAGACCTGCAGCCTCTTCCATCTAGAAGAACAAGGTGAACAAATGTATGATCTGCGATTTTCGTTCCAATTCACAAACCATCCTGGCTTGGAACTACATCGTAATCCATAAATTAATTTCAAACTCCTGGACCTCCCTCCCTAACAGCATAATGGACGTAAGTATTTTTGATCTATCTGTTCAGTCATATGATGACACATGCCTGGAGCAGGTGGGTCTTGAACCTGGGCCTTCTAGCCCAGAGGTAGCAACACTCCCATGTGCTCCAAGACCCTGAAAGCACTGTGAGTGCAGCACTTTACGAAGCTGGTTCACCACCGTATTCTACAGGAGAATTAGGTGGGGGAAAAGTTGCTGGAAATACCCAGTTGATTAGGAAGCTTCAATGCAGAGACAGATGAAAACAGAGATAGCAGCCTAAATGTTCACCCTCAACGTGGGCAGCGGGGGTTGAAAAAACTCCCAGCTTTGCACACTTGTCACGATAAACACCAATAAATCAAGCAATTGAGTCTGATCAACGTACTCCAGAACCTGAGGAGATTAACAGAGTGTTACAAATTCAGGCTTGACATCACTTTCCAAGACCAGATCTACCAAACTCTGTCCCAGTTCTTCATTCAGTTCGCCAGGGCAAGGACAAACGCAAATTTAGTCAAAGTCCTTTGATTCTGATATTCTCCAAGCTGCACACCTGACAGTCTCTTGGCTTGCTTATTCATTACTGCTGCAGATCTGATAATCATACTGACTTCATGTCACAACATCCAAATCCAGAAGCTGCCAGAGATAATATTTTGGAGATTGCTCAGGAATTCATTAATTTTGCAGCTCAACATTTTAGACCCAAGGCAATTACTCTTGTTGGTATCAAGTGCGCTCTGCGTGAAGAATTGCACACTGCAAACAGACAGAAAATGTTTATGCTCAAATCACTGACGCAAACTGGAAGCAGATTCCTGGCAGACGTGCCTGGCTTTGTGTCACTGAATATACGAACGTCCAAAGCTGATGAGCACAAAGTGACCAGCTGGTTCATCCAGCCTGTCTCCCATCCTGATGCCTGGAGCATTGGAAGTCAACACTTTCTTTCTCCAGTGCCCCCACCCTATATCTGCCCATCTCCTCCCTGTCATCACTCATTCCCTACTATGTAATCTCCTTCAAAAGCCAAATAAATCGAAGTAAACATGAGGCTAATTAAATGAAAAATGCTTGAAAAATTCCTCTGCTTCCCCGCTCAGGTTGTCATCACAGTCCAAGGGATGGATCATAAGGAAATGAAAAAGTATAGCATTGCACAACAGAGTATAGTCATCCCAAGGAGAAACAGGGTCAAGCAATAACTTTCACCTATACTGGCCATCAGAGGATAACATAAATCAACGTGCTCTTCAAAGCCTGATTACTGCTCCTCGGCAAATGCAAGTAGGTTGAAGAAATTATTAAATGATGGATAAGCTGCCTGGTGACATTAACTGAACCTATATCAGGACCAACTCTTTCAAATTAGGTCCTGCCATCTATTTATAGCAGTGAATTTATTTAGGGGTCTTTTATTCCCCACCAGGAGCTTATCACTTAGTGAATGAATGTTTCTGCCAGGGTTCGAATTGGTAACAGAATTAGTGTTATGAACCACTTTGGAGAAAGTGTACTGATTCCCAAGCCCCACTGCTCCCAGAGACACGACTGAAGTTAATGATTTAATCCAAGTGTCCAAAGTCCCAAATTTACCTGACTTGTGGAATTAAGTGGCGTGGTGGCTCAGTGGTTAGCAACTGCTGCCTCACAGCACCAGGGACCTGGGTTCGATTCCACCCTCAGGCGACTGTCTGTGTGGAGTTTGCACATTCTCCCCATGTTTGTGTGGGTTTCCTCTGGGTGCTCCGGTTTCCTCACACAGTCCAAAGATGCGCAGGTTACTAGGATTGGCCATGCTAAATTGCCTGTAGTTTTCAGGGATGGGTAATAAGGGGATGGGTCTGGATGGGATGCTCCAAGGACCGAGGTGGACTTGTTGGGCCAAAGGGCCTGTTTCCACACTGTAGGGATTCTATAATGAACTTCATAGAACACAGAGATCAGGCTTCCGTACTTAACGAGAATGACTGTCTATTCCAAATGTATTCATTCTGTATGTATCATTAGTAAAATGTCATTTGTTCCAAAAGATCCATCTGTCACCTTCACAGTGAGGGCATTCTACTACATATAAGATGCACTGCAGCAACTCACTAAGGCTCCTTCAACAGCATGTCCAAAATCCATAAACCCCACCACATAGGAGGACAAGGCCAGTAGATGCATCAGAACATCACCACCTGAAAGATTCCTTTCAAAACACGCACAATCCTGTCCTGGAAGAATATCACCATTCTTTCATTATTGCTGAGTCTAAATCCTGATGGTACTGTGGCTGTACTTATACAAACAGAAAATGGAGCAATTTTCAAGCTGGCTGCTCACCACCAAGTTCTCAGGGGCAGTTAGGGATGGGTAATAAATAAAAACGCCAGTGATGCCTTCATTGTGTGAAAACTAATAATCCAGAGGCCCAAGTGAATGACCAAGAGAGGCTGGTCCAAATCCCACCAAAGCAGTTGGTAAAAGAATAAAAACAAAATCCAAGCAAATGTGAGATAACAAGGTGTAGAGCTGGATGAACACAACAGGCCAAGCAGCATCAGAGGAGCAGGAAGGCTGACGTTTCGGGCCTAGACCCTTCTTCGGGTCTAGGCC